ATGCACAAAATAAAGTAAAGCATCTATTACGAAGAAGAACAAAACTTTAACTTTTACACCCAATTATAGATTGTGGTAAACAACCAAGGTTGGCTTGCAAATTTACAAGCTCAGTTAATAGTTTTTGCAGTTAAGTGTGTGAATACACCCATCTTCTTTATATTGTATATTATATCAATTTCTTTAATGAGTAGCAAACCAAAGAAAAAATGTTAAAACATTAACACATCGCTAATAGTTCCGTGCTTGATATTTTTTATTTTTGCTGTACATAAATATACGTTTGATAAAAAATACAACATTTATAAACTCTACATAAGTATTGTATAATTCAAATTAAAATGCACATGTTGTCGCAACTTTTATGTTAAACTCAGTTCACATAATTAACACATTTACGTTAACATTCACTTATATTATCTATCTTACTTTCATTGCTTTTGAACTATTTTATAGGATAAAACTTTATGTTTATCGCTTATGTAATTGTACGTTGTATTTTAAGATAGTACCATGATCAACCATTTTTGTAAGATATCTACATGTATGAATTATTATAATCAGAATACTACATTTGTAACAGTTGAAATGTTATGATCTTACACATTTTGGCCATTTGTTTTAGAATTCAATTCCAAGTACTTGAACCACATTTATCCACTAGAGGCACGATTTGACTGACATTGATAAAAATTTAATAATCATTTAAATATACGTACTTAACAAAACAAAAAAATGCGTGGGTTATTGAAAAATTTGAGTTTCGATCGAATGAATACTTTTAAATTACCGGATTAAAAATTTTGTCACATTTACTTTTTGATTTAAATTAAAAAGCATTATTAATATTGTAATAGCTCTCTTTAATCGCTTGTTAATGATTTGCGTTTCATTTTATTTATAGGATCCTTTTAGTATTTGCCATAAGAAATTTATTTTCTGCAATAAACCCACTCAACTTGTCTACGAGAAAACTATCAATAAGTCGGACACTTACAGTCGAATATTAAAGTTATAGACATGAGCAGTCTTTGTATTTACAAATCTACCATAAATACGAACCTATTACAAATATTTTTATACACCTACAAAAATTATAAATCAATAGCGTTGCATCTCACAAAATGTTCGATTTAACTCTTATACAATTTGTTCATCTATTAGGTATTTTGTTTTATAAATTAGCACACGTATTATGAACCGTTCACCATGTAGCTGTACATTTGTACAAGTTGAAATATTCACAAAGGCTTACTTGGGTATATTTACGTGACAAAATTTTACTAATAAATAGGCCAAATGACGCAACACTTATTCAGTACAGTATCATTGACCCCTTAGACCGGTACAATTCGTCGAGACATCAACTTGTTACTTACACGCAGCTCCTCTTTTTGATTAATTTCTCGATAGTCCAGTACCAGACTATTATTGTGTAAATCCTTGGGCATATCTGACAAGATAAGTGCGAGATTCCTTGTTTGCCGTGGTTTCGCTGAGATTCGTCGTTGCTGTCGCAATATTTTTGCTGCTACTGATAGTGACTTTGGCTGCGTCGAAGCCTCGGCTCTACTGCAAACAAGAAATAGGAGCTTGGCTCTCACATGCAAATTTTACACCCGTTGCTTTATGTTATGAAATGCGCGTTTTTGTTTCATTTGACTCCAGTAATTGGAGAAAAAAAAATGTACTGAAAAATTTTTATTTACCATATTTTTGAAAGATGTCTAAAAAACCACTGATTTAAACATTTTTATAAAAAGCTTCCAATAACTCTAAAAGCAGTTCTCGAAATGGTTAATTAACAGTTTATAGAAAATGCTAACTGCAACTAAAACAACTTGCCTGAGAATTCATAAGGCTATTTTAATTACAAAAACAATTTCTTTGAAATTACTCGAGTTGTATACTCTATAATCACGATATTTCTTCACGTGGAACTGTACAAGTAAGAGTATTAAGCAAAAATGTCAATATAAAAAAAGATCTAAAACTCATGCAAATTTACGAGCTTTCACTAATATATATCAAACCCATGCAAAAGTTATTTTGTATATAATACCCACAATAAAGTTTTTAAATACATAATTGTATTGTTTTGAATATTAAAGCATTTTTTGTATTAATCTAACTTAAATAACAGGAAGGAAAGTTCAATTTTTGTGTTTGAATTTATAAAAAAAAAAATACTTTTCATGTCATTTATTGTACAACATGCTTTATTGGAGCTCGTTACCATATCCAATCACTCGATGTTTCAGCATACAGCTTTAAAATGCTTCACATTTTACTTCTAAATTAGACTTAGTAACGATGTTACAACATCGTCTTTCACTTGGATTGTACCGGTTTTGGTTTATTAAGTTAATTTTTTAACTACCTAATTTCACACAATCTCTTACCAAACATAGAATTTACGTACTTGACTTTCACGTTTTTCATTAAAATTACAAATTTCTCCATAAAAAGTTCAGTTTTTATACGGTCGATTCATATATTAAAATTTACCATATGACTATTGCAAAATGTTAAATTAATTTACAAAAAATTAATTTATGTACAATTTGTGAAGCTAAATAAGAAAAAAATTTACTGATACTCAGTTTGATTCATCACTACTGAAAGTTAATGGATAACTGATTCTTATAACTGTTAGACCGTAACGTCCGTAAGAACTAGGCGCCAAATATAAGTCTAATGATTTTTCACAGAAATATCTACACGCTTCTAGTTAGGGAAAATTCTTATTACCCCATATTGATATAATTATTTACATTTCATTGGCTATTTAAGAAAATATCAAGATGCCTTCGAGATCATCTTTGTGTTTTTTTTCATTAAGAGAGAAAAGCAAAAAGTGTAATAGCAGTATTTACATAACATTTCATGATTGAAATCAAGTCCATTTTGTTTGTGTAAATTAATTTACAAAGTTATCTTTTAGGATAAACAAAAATATTCATTGTACATTTGGCCTATGAACTTAGCTGGAACTACTAACTTTTTTTTTACATATGCACAAGTCAAGCATAGAAATTGATAACTATAAACATACAATTATCTTAATCATAAAAATAAAGACTTCGTTACACTAAAAATAACAAGAAAACCAAAGAATCTCATACACTAAGTATTAATCTAAACGATGTTTCATTATTCATTGAAAAACTGATGGTTATGCAAGTAAAGAAACAAATACTTTTTCCATTCAACATTTTTAGTAAAAAATTTCATTAAGTTTTTGTAAGTTTGAGATTCAATGGACAATATTAATCGTGAATCTTATAAATACGTATACTATTTAATGCCTGCATACCGAATGAAGGCAACTAATTTGACTCAATTGAAATAAAAACAAAATGACCATACATAATTATAGCTTTAAAGAGCAGTCGTAACCCCCCACCCATGATGCTCACTCGTCCGCATTGAACACGTCGTACATGGAATTGAAGAAAATGATCAACGATTGATCAAATGAACTGAATTTTGGCATCTACCAAACTAATAACGACGCACCAATAAACATTAATAATAGAGAGAGAGAGAGCAAACACGACGTGACACGGTAGTGCGGTATATTCGACCGGACAGTGAGAGCATGATCGATTACAACAATGAATGTACCATTCTCATCTTGATTTATTTATGTACAATTGTTTGTTTTTCTTTTATCAACTCTTGAGCACACGTCTGTTGTCATTCATTATTACAATCGTTCGGCCTAGTGTTTCTTTGATAACCTTCTAGATTGTGATCTGGTAGTGATGGTAGTACCGTTTTTCTCGGCCCCAACGTTGTTGCGATGACTTTGATTCTGATGCGCGTGGGTGTACGGTATCCTGAAGAGCTGAATGTCCAAGTGATCGCAGATCTCCGTGCAAACTTGCGCGCTGTATCTCAATAAGTCGAGGGTAACCCAAGTCTGTTGGATATAAAAATCAGACACGCGTCAGTATGGAGAAATACGTCATGAAACAAGTACGCGAATTTACTTACGAAACACAGCCAAAGAACGTAGTACTCTTTGATGAAAAAATTGAAGTACTGGTTGAGGAACAGCATGGCTGGTCCTATCAACGAACTATCCAGGTACTGCATCTCGTTTTTCGTCATGTGAGCAACCTGTGGTCAAAAATAAAAAAAAATAAAATAAAAAATCAGCATCGTGTATATTTTACACGTATTGCATGCATTGGATACACACCACAAGACGATTCGTCACTTTGGCGGCGACCATCCCGAAAGATAGTATGTACAGAACTGGATGGTTCTCGTAGACGTGTTCGGCACTTTTTCTGTAAATAATGAAGGCAGGCACCACGACGAAGCTGAACGGTATGATTGGAGATAAAACGGACGTACCCTGCAAATGTTACGAGCATCTCAGAGGCCACAAATTTTTGTTTTTCTCACAACAGATACTTGCTTTCATTTGTATAATAGCAAGCTTTTGTATCTACACTCGACATAATATGTTATGCTGCACAAGGTCTACCATCCTTGCGTGTGTGTGTGTGTGTGTGTGTGCGCGTGCGTTTAATTATACATAAACTCGTGTCTTTACGTTATGAGAAACAATTAAAAATACAAGTTAAAAATCAAAGCTATAAAGCCTTATTTGTTAATATATTGAGTGCAGCAATATTCTTGAAAAATTGATGTGTTGGAAAAAAAAAAACAAACAAAAAGTTAGTATGATAATAATAAAGTTCTGTTTGCTAAAGAAACAAAAATAAACAGACAAATTTATATAATAATCGATCGACAATCCGTGACAAGATTCACACGAGCTTTTTAAGATATTTATTTTTTTGCGAGATAAGCTTATTTCCATGTAGTATAATAATATCTCATTATACAAGAATTACTAGTGGGTACATGCACTCTTGCAGACATGCAACTGATGCTCAGCAATCATCGATATGTTATTCAAGTCACGTCATGCGTGCATGTCAAAAGCATAAAAATAACAGATACAGAGAAAGCTTTCGTAAGCACAAGATGCACAAAGCTTGCAAACGAAGGGTATAAACCAACACTGAAGCAAATACCATGGTGGTTGTGGTAGTATAGGAATGCACACAAAAAGCAATTAAAAGACATTTAGGCCCTCAGATTTCATGTAAAATAAAATATTGTTTAATTCATTCAGACGCTACGAGTTCGATGATAGACTCGGGCGTTGATAACAGAAAGAAGAAACTCGATAATCAATTTTTTAATTTGACACAAGTTAGATTTGACAAATTCAAAAATTGTTTAAACAAACAATCCAAGTGTTGAAGAAAAAAATCGCCGCTGATTAGTTGGAATTGATATCAAGCCAACTTGTCGGCTGTCAATTCAAGATTTTATGTGCGGTAACGTCTTTCAAATAAAAATGTATCGAAAAATTGTTTATTTATAGTCAGATAGGAGAGTCTTCCGCGAGTTACTTCCCTTACACCCCATGTTAACGAGTTTGAATTTGATCCGCTCGTAAAATTCGTGTAACTACCGAATGTGATGCCTTTCCAAATTCCAAATACATTTTTATCAAAACTTTACGTATGACCGATGTATAAATATTTTGTGCACGAAGACGTGGGAAACTTCAATTGCGATAACTCGTATCATCGTATAACGATAACAACAAGTTGAAAAGACCAAATCTACCGCTATAAAACAAAAGCCTCTCTGTATATATATATATATACACACCGCCTAGTTGTAAACGAGATAACGCGTAATCGGAGTGCATTTTTCTTTTTACGACTTCATTCATATCTTGGATCTGAGCTGAAACAATGGCATTACATGAAAACTATTCGTGTGGTGCATACGATTTTACAATTTTCCACCTGCATTGCGAAGAAACAGACTATGAAATTGCAAGGCACACTTTGGCTCGAAAACAGATGTTTGCGGGTGTACGGGTACCTACACAATTTATCCATCATAGTCATTATCTTCAACTTGGGCTGGTTTATCCAAAATCTTTGAGTTTGTTACTTTAACTTATCGAATCCATCGTAACGTCTGACATTGTCTATTTCAATTCAAATCGAAGCTTTTTTTAAGCTCTTTCAATTATTTTTCAAGTGGATGTGTGAACTTTACATCATTCTGAGTTAAGTTGCACACTTTTTGGGGCAAACTAGGTTGGTCGAACCAAGACTGCAGCCCACATTGGGAAGTTTTACATTTCCGGTCTAAAATGTGTTGAAAAAACAAGAAAGCCTTTCAAAATTATGATTTCCTTCGGCTCTTGATTCAACGTAAACATTTGCAATAAAAATTTTCATTGTAGTTTTCGCTCTTTACTTCGAGATTTGTCCTACTAGATGTATAGTCATAATTTCCCGATCACCATAAAATCTTGATTGACCACCTGGAAAACCCTTTGACACAATACTTTTTTTTTTTTTTTTTCTAACTTGAGACATATATTGGTGCAACATTTAGACATGTACCTAATGTGCAAAAAACCATATTCTGAGGACCTAAATCGTAAAACGCGTCATACAAATGATCAAATAATATTACATGAAAACAAAAAGAAAAGAAAACATGAAATGATGAGAGATAAAGCAGTAAGGGGTGAAAAAAAGTGGGTGCACTGTAATAATGACGTGTGAAAAATCGGTGCCCTAGAATACATAAATAAATAAAAAAATTAAAAAAAAGTGATGTATAGTAATCAGACTGACTTACGGCCACGGTGGAGCCGTTCTTGCCGACACCACCGGCTAGTATGACGGACATGCTGCTGAACGCGAGCAAGGCAGCAATGCCAACTGCACCCCACAACGGAAAGATCTTCACCTCGGTGCCAGTGTATGGCAACTATACGTATATATTTATACATATATAATGTTTTTGTGCGCATACACGTTGCGTACATATGCATACGTTATGGTACACAAGCGTGATGATTGACGCGTGTATACGTGATGCGTGGTGATGCGGAACGCGTGAAAAAAGAAAAGCGAAAATATTTCTCTTTGTTAGTCGGACGTAGGTATACTTAACTTGTATGCATGTCTCATATAAATATATGGTGTATATTATGCGTACAAAAGGGTGTCGCGACACCGTTTTCCACCACTGTACACTCTCATAATTATATCAATGACAGTATGGTGTATGCGGGTGAAAATGTCGCGATACCCTTTCTGGAACACTCTAAGGTAATGCGTGTTTATTTAAGTTCAATATGACACACACAACTTTGTCGAGCTCGACATGTCGACGGCTTAATAACAAAAACATCCAACTTTGGTAAAAAAAATAAGCTTAATCAAAATTTCAGTGAAGAAGCTAACTAGTTCAGATTTGGAACGAAGAATCAGTTTACTCGAGATTTTTTTTCCCTTCAAATTTCGTAGTGGCAATTTTTTCGCCAGTTATAAGGTAACAAGGGTGCTTTTTTCAAGAAATTTAAGAAGAAAAAAAAATTCCCTGCTACCTGTGAGTTTGAATTAGCTGCTTCTCCAAAGAAAATTTGAATCATCTATTTACTTTTTTTCGGGAACAGTCGATGCGTGAGCTATTTTATTTTTCAACTATTATGCATAGGTGATGCTAAAGTTGATTGTGCAAGAAGAAAATCTCAAGTATAATAATTAGTTCAAAACTACATAATGTATTTAAAATGAATTTTTTTTACAACTTCGAATAATTTTAATACCTTCTGTAAGTTCGAATTTGAATGACTACGAACAGAAAAATATCTAGTTTACACAAGGTAAAGCTGTTACATAAGATTTAAAAATAATTCGAACGTTCTCGTCGACCTTCGTAAATTTGCGCAATCAACTAGTTTTGAGCATAGTAATGACAATTATTGTTTTTTCACTGATAAGTTTCTAGTAGATGTATTATAAATTAAAAAAAAAA